TCATTTTTACTTGGTTGACTCTGGTTTGGTGGAATCATGGAATGTTAATATGGAAAATGACATTGGTGACCAGCACTTTTATTTCCAGTGAAGTGATATCCAGTTTTATTAAGTGGCTTTCACAACAGCACACAACTGGAAAACAGTTTTTCTCCAGCACCAGGCTCACCCTTTAATTACAAAGGAAATTATTGAAGGTGAACATTTGGTAGAAAAACATTTCACATCAAGAGTGAGAAGCATGCAGTTCTGACCACACTAGCTACCAGTGACTTCCTTATTACATATTTCCATCCCTTGGCCTTGGTCACTGGCATTTAGATCGCTCAGGAAATACACTTACAGAATCCATTTCTCAAGCTTAATCTTTAAATCTTATCTGGGCTGTTCTTTATGGTTTGCTAGATTAATTTATTAGTAGTATTGTTTTTTCTTTCAAAGAGTTATGCCTTTATAGAGAGCTTCCATAATATGAGAGAAATCAAAGTGAACGAGAGAGCTGGCATTAGAGATATTGAACGTCACAAGACACAGCCCAATAGTAGTGACGCTGTTATTTTTGTAATGTACCAACAAAGAAAATGAAACCAAATAATTCCCCAAAATGGCAAAACGTCCATCCTTTTTTCCAAACTAGTCAAGAACTATATTAAACAAAGTTACTGAATTTTTATATCAATATGGTGAATTATTAAAATAAAGGTTTAAGTAAGAACTAGATAAGATAGCTAAACATTCAAGGAAATATGAGTTATCCTATTAATCAGGGTGTTTTAGGAAATCAGGCTGCTAAATTATAGGCTCTCAAAGGCCAATCACTAAACACTTACTGAGTGCTGACTACCTACTACACCGAGCAAAAAACATGCCGCATCTCCCTCCGGCACTTGGTTCTTGCTGCCTTGTCATTTCTTTTGCTGTGCTTCAGGGAAGAGAAGGGTGGGGGCGGGGGCAGCTGACAGCACATGGGTATGGGGCCTTCCCCAAGAGAGGACATGGAGATGGCTAGACAGCTAGACGTAAGGAGGTAAGGGAAGGCAAGAGAGACCACCTCCCAGCTTCCAGTCCTTTCTCAAAGAGGTTCTGAATTTCTTCCCTTCTCCTCCTCCTTCTCCTCCTCCAATCTTATTCTCTCTCTCTCTCTCTCTTTCTCTCTCTCTCTCTCATTAGACACTGCTTTTTTATCATAAGAAATTATTATACAACATAATCTAACATAATTCCAAAATTATCTCTTGCTATTTGTATGATATAATTTTTTAAAAAACCTCTTTTAAAAAATATCCCCTTCCTCTTTTGACACAAACCACATAAGACAAAATATGCACTTGAGTCACAGAGTGCAAAATATTCACCTGTTCTACGTATCTTATACTCCACTGAATATTTGCAAACTTTTGTTCTAAGGTAGCCCAATACTGCGCTGTGGAGGATGTCATTCAGATTGATGGGCACCGGTCCAGCCAGTCGGAGTCAGCGTTGTAGCTGTGCTTTTCCCCCACGTCTCCTTATTTTCCAAGCTTCTTCTATCCCTCACCTGGACTTGCTTCCAAACAACTCACATTGTTCAAATAAATTAACTGCTTATTTCATAACACTGTGTCAGCCTCCAGTGCTTAAAACCGTTACTGCCAACTTATACAGCCACAAGCCCGACTATAACAGGCTTGTGCTTGTCCGCTCCACCACTCTGGGCACTGGTTACACACTTGCAGTCTGGGACTTTGTGTCCTTTTATACCTGGATGTTTTCTAGAATTGATTCCAGGTCTTATGTTTCCCTCTCTTCGTTTTTCTGGATAAAGGGAGACATCAAGATGACAGCTCTGCGGAAAGAACCACAGCTTCTGGGCCCAAGTCAAAGATCTAGAGTAACTTTTCTGGGAAGATGAGTGTTGGAATATCTGTTGCACCGGAAGCTCCAGAGATCATGTAGACCAAGCATGTCAAACTCAAAGGCTAACACGGGCCAAATAAATGAGGCATTCGGCCCACGGGCCGCGAGTTTGACATGCTTGATGTAGACCATTGGTGAAGAGTCTGACATAAGCTTATGGTAAATACAAGAATAGTCAGCTGAAAAGAAACAATCACTCTAGGTGGGGAACAAAGTTCTGTAGGAGAGAAGGCGGTTATTTTTACCATGTGATTCAACTGAGAAGAGTGTTAACAAAGTCATAAAAAAATAAAAAAACAAATATGAAAACAATCAAACTTTAAGACAAATATTTTTGAAAGATGGTCATATGAGAAAGGTATTCATTCACATCTCCTGAGTTTATGGGAATAAGACATCAACAAATCAAAGAATGCCCTAAATTTGAAAAAAAAAATCTGGTAGTAATATAAGCATGCTATTCAGAGAAGTAGAGAGAAATAAAACAATCAGAAGAAGTGAGATGTGTTGTCTTGATGGAGGGAAATGGGAAGAGCAGGGAAAGATTTTTTGTAGGAAACCCCACACAGCACTCTGACCCTGAACTGCACCCACTTATAAAATGCACTGAGTGTTGCCTCGAGAGTTACAAAGTGCCAGTGGTTTGCATTGCTCTGCATTTAACACTCCCTGTTAATGTTATTCTGTAGAAAATCTTGCCTAATATTCTTTGGTGGCAAATGAAACTAATGATCGTGGGGCACTGCATGTTATTAATTCAAACAGAGAAAACAGTATAGTATGTCGAGGTGAGCATTTGCATGCAAAACCCCAAAGTCTGAAATTACCCATAAACCTGGAAAAGTGTTCTAAAAGAGGGTAACTATATAACATCATTCAAACAGGGAAAATAGGCAATAAGTGAGGAATATTGCAGACATGTATCACCCATACCCCCGATTTAGATCTTTTCTTACACCTTACAACAGCGTTAGTACTTTAAACTGGGGAAAACATAATATGTAAACCAACCTTGAACACTTATAAAATTTCCTGAGCAAGCACTGCAGTTATTCTAGAAATTCCAGGTCTGCCTGTGACTATCTATCACTAGCAATAGAAAAGTGGGTGTTTTTTTTAAACTTGTCTTATTTTTCAGATAAATGTATGAAAGCCTAGAGACTTGACTTAGAATAATTCCAATGAACAAACCAATGAAAAAAATATACTAATTTATGAATGTAAAGGTCAACACTTTCTAGACACTACATTCTAATAATGGCCAAACTAATGATGATAATAAAATAACGGTGTTACATGTTTATGTCATTTTATATTTTTCAAAGATATTTTCTTATCACTTTCGTGGAAAGAAGCTAAACTTGATGTTCACAATTTAACATCTCCACCTATACTTTATAAGCATCTTAATTCTACAATATCTTGGATCAAGCAGTACAAGAATATAGCACATTGTGCCCAGCCAGTGTGGCTCAATAGTTGAGGGTCAACCTATGAGCCAGGAAGTTTCTAACTCTCTCTCCCTTTCCCTTCCTCTCTGAAATCAATAAAAACATATTTTAAAAAATAAGAACACAGCACATTGTGATAAATCAGGAGACATATGGTGATTATAGGGCTTCCTAATTACAATGTGGACTCTACGCATTTGGAATATTACTGCAATGCAGCTGTAGGTTTTTCTTTAATACAGTGCTAGATAAACCAACATAATAACTAAACCTGCTAAAATTATCTTTAGTTTACTCTATCTTGTAAGTTGACATATTTTAAATGTATATGTTTTTTAGTAATAAACTGAATTACTTAAGACATTCTATGAGCCCTAGCCGGTTTGGCTCAGTGGATAGAGCGTCGGCCTGCGGACTGAAGGGTCCCAAGTTCGATTCCGGCCAAGGGCACATGCCTGGGTTTCGGGCTCAATCCCCAGTAGAGGGTGTGCAGGAGGCAGCCGATCAATGATTCTCTCTCATCATTGATGTTTCTATCTCTCCTTCTCCCTTCCTCTCTGAAATCAATAAAGAAATATATATTTTTAAAAAACATTCTATGAATCTGAATAGTTACTAACTACAAATGAGAGCCCCATCCGCCTGTCTCCCACCCATAAGCATGACGACAAGTTAAGGACATTCCTGTGCCATTTGCTCAGCACGCATAGAGGCCTTTCAATGATGTTTCACGGTCACTCTGATGATAATATAATCAACACCTAATCATGGTAGGTTAATTAGATGCATCCCTTCCCTGACAAAACTAAGCATTCTCTAACGACATTTAATAAACCTCTCATCAAACAGCAATTTTCTTTAATTGGTTACTTTAATGTAAATATTAAAATAGTGGCATTCAAAGGAAATAGATTTTTATTTAATGTATTATATATCAATATAAATTATATATGTAAAGAAGAATCTTAGGAAGCATCTTGCTTCCTAAGTAGCACCTTGCAAAAAAAGATTTAAAATATAATTTAATTCAATTCTGACCTTTTATTCAGTGGATCTATTTTTATCTCTTTCCTTATTAACCAGAATAGCAGGTACAACAAATTGTGTGTGTGTGTGTGTGTGTGTGTGTGTGTGTGTTTGTACACTCACACAATATATATATGTACATATATGTGTGTGTGTATAACATATGGCAGTATCTTAAAACTCTAGCAAACTATGTATAATATTAATGAAAATACAATGAAAGTGCTTTGTTAAGATGTTCAGAAGGGAAAAAAGGAATGAACAGAATTTCACCAGTTAACAGCTGAGAGTGGAATAGGAATAGTAGGGAGGTCAGAGAGAAATTTCCGCAGGACTGAGGAGGGCTCAAAATCCCTGAAAAAAATCCTGAACTCTATCATATAAGTAAACTCTCTACCAGACAGAAACAAAGATTATGAATTTTCCAAGAGTTGTGGACAGCCATCTTGGAAGCACAAGAGGGAAGTTCGAATGAGTTAGACCAGTGGTCGGCAAACTCATTAGTCAACAGAGCCAGATATCAACAGTACAACGATTGAAATTTCTTTTGAGAGCCAAATTTTTTAAACTTAAACTATATAGGTAGGTACATTGTTATTAACTTAATTAGGGTACTCCTAAGGCTTAGGAAGAGCCACACTCAAGGGGCCAAAGAGCCGCATGTGGCTCGCGAGCCGCAGTTTGCCAACCACGGAGTTAGACCAACACCAGTGAAGTGGATCCAATGCCATGGAAAGGGATCCAGAAGCTGGTTTGTGCCCACACTTGATTTCAGACATGACATTTAAGTCCTGGTCAATAACCTTTGCCTGAAGCTTGACCTCCCCGGATGGCTCCATTACATGAGTCAGTAAGTTGCCTTTCATGTCTAAGCTAATTAGAGTCTGGTTGACTGAAACATTTCTGTTAAGAATGTTCTCTAGGTGATGTAGGTCACCAACACCAGGGAGAACAAGAGCAGGTGGATCCGGTGGTTTCATGTCCAGGCCAGCAGCAGGGCTTGCACTGTAGCTCGGGGGCAAGACAGACAGGCTCCTCTTCGCCCTGAGCACAGTCCTGGGATGAGGAAGCAGAAGAGGCTCTGATGTCTTCCAGGCCATCACAGCTGCCCCTTCAGGTCAGAGGTGATGAGACCCATAGACAGGAGATTGTCTTTAACATTTTGTCATATTCTGTTTTGTTAATATACCCAAAATTGTGTATGTATCTTATAACTGTTTTTAGAAATTGGCACATAGGCTTCTATTACTTATTAGGTGGAGATTTTATATGTAAATGTAGTACTGAGAATCTTTTTTCCATCGTTTTGTTGGGGAATTAAATAGGGTGCTGTTTGGATTGAAAAAAAGTAAAATATATTCAGTCTACTGGCATCCAGGGTAGACACTGAATAGTGGGAAGAAATTGTATAAAGATCCATGGATTTAACAGTCATAAATTTGCTCAGATCAAGAAAAAAGCTTAGGCTCTAGTCTTCGGTCTCCGGGAGAAGGTTGGGTAGTTGACATAAATGTCCTCTCCTGCACCATCTGATGGTTGACTGATGGAGAAGGAACTTCTGTAGTTGTTGGATGCCTAGAAAGACAGGCAGAGAAGGTGTCAATAATTCACTAAGTTGTCAATTACTCACTAAGGTGTCAATAAGCAGCTAACAAAGACACCGAAAACAAATATCTTCTCCATTCAACTACAATAGAGGTCAAATTTCTATTACAATTAATTTCATAAAACATCCTCTTTATTATATTGAACTTCTGTGAGAAATCATGTTCTTGACTTGCAGGGCCCCAAGTAAGATGCAACAGAGGCCTGGTCTACATCATCTCTTGCTACACTGGGTTTATGAAACACCTGTTTAGATGCAAAACTCCCTTTCCCAATGTCAGGGGTTTTGATTAGAGCAATTCTCATTTTTATATGGAAAGTCTCATATAGTATTTTCCCATTGTGGGCCCCATTAATTAATTTCTGTTGAATGAATGTCATCAGAGGCCATACTTTTTTATTTTATTTTTATTTTTTAAATTTGTCTTTATTGTTGAAAGTATTACAGATGTCCCCTTATTCTCCCTATTGATCTCCTTCACCCCAATCCTGCCCCCACCCAGGCCTTCACCACACTATTATCTGTGTCTATGGGTTATGCATATACATATGCATATAGGTTCTTTGGATAATCCTTCCCGAGCCTCCCTACCCCTTTCCCTCAGATTCATCAGTCTGTTCCATGCTTCCATGTTTTAAAGAACAGTACATGGTGTCCTGTATTAAAAATAAGCAACTGAACACAATAAATTAACAAAATAAACTGATAGTGACTTTCAAGATAACGTTATGTTATTATTAGAGTGGCTTTGGTGTTTTCAAAGAGAAAGAAAGTTCAAGTGTCATTGTTACTTATATGGCTTGTTGATAAAAAAAAAAAAAGATCAAGTAAGTCTAACTTCATCTTAATATCAGCTTAAAAATCTAACTTTATAATCATCATTCAAAATACCATTATTTTATAAAAGCCTGAAAAAGTTGAATACATAATGTAGGAAGTGGCAAAGCTCCTTCCTGCCTCTGAAGTTCGCAGCAACAACTGTGGCTTTGTTTTGGCTTGAGTGGGCAACAGCTAAGGACAAAGAACAAATCCCAAAATTGTATAAAACAGACCACTGATTAGCTGGTGCAGGAGTGGCAGGTAAAACAAGGCAGGACTTCTTGAGTCGTTGTGGTTGGTGCCAAAAAAGTAAGCCATGGATTATTCAGAAAAAAGAAATATTTTTGCAAAGAGTAACTACTTAATAGAAGAAAAAATTAAACTGATAGATTATTGAGAAGTCTGAAGCACACATATTGAATTGTCAGAAACATTTTAGTACTTGGCGTTTTGACTGGGTAGAATGTAATGATAAGTAATTAAGTCGAAGAGAAATGGATGTAATTGTAGATAACACTTGGGGAAATGTTTTATTGTAAAATTCCCTAAACAGAACAATATGTGTTAAAGGGAATATTTGACCCATTGTGGAGACATGAGCATCCCTCTTATCTACAAACACAGATGGAATTTTCTCTTTCCAGTAAACAAAAGTGGGCACATGCAAATGAGGAGGAAATGGTTACACTTCATCAGACATCTGCAGCCCCTTGGAAGGCTCTTTAGCTTTATAATCTGAACATCCATTAATTAATCAATTAAGCAAAAGGTCAGACCATTTATGTAGTTTAATTTAATCCTCACAATAACTTTATGGCATAAAAACATAATTATGCCCTGTACTGGGTCAGATAGTGTTCCCCCAAATTTATGTTCTTCCAAGACCTTCATGATGTGACCCTATGTGAAAATAGGTTTGTTATAAAAACACACACACTCACACAGGCAAGAATGCCATGTGAAGACAGAGGCAGAGTCTGGAGTGACGAGGCCACAAGCCACGGAATGTCAAGGAGTGCCAGAAGCCAGCAGAAACTCGGAGAGAAGCATGGAACAGATTCTCACCCCAAGGAGGAACTGATCCTACTGAGACCTTGATGTTAGACTTCAACCCTCTAGAACTGCAAGAGAATGGATTTCTGTTGTTCTGAATCACCCACTTTGTGGGTATTTGGTGTGGCAGCCTAGGAAACCAATACAGGTTTTGGTAATGTGCAGTGTTGGTTATTATGTTGGTGTGATTGCTCTTTTCTTTATATTAATGTAAAAACAGTTTTGAAGGGTATTAATAATAGGAGAATAGTTCAGAAAATAACTATTTCATCAAATAGCTAACCCTTAAATTACAGGCAATTGCACGGCCAGTTTGTTGAAAGGAGAATAAAAAAGAAGATTGCTAATTGCCAAATGAACTGAGTTTACAAAACTTTTATGATGTACAAGGAAAGAGCGGGGGGGGGGGGGGGGGGGATGACAACTCTGAGAAAACTTACCTTATTCTGTGTGGCCTGGGACTCTTTACCTTGGACACTTTTCTGTCTCCTTCTCTTCCTGGAAATACATATTCAATAGAGGTATTAAGAATTACACTCCAGACTAATGTTATTTCAAATCCTTTATATGCCTCACCTGTGCCCTAGCTCACATGCCCCTAACTACCCACAGTTACTTTACTAGTATACATACATACCCAAATTTTTTTCATTTTCCCACCTTCTCCAATGTGTTTCCAGATGGTAGAGGCAACTAAATGAATATCCACCCAGTGGACACTAGTCATTAATCCCAGTGAGTTTAGTAAAGTATGGTTCATAGTGGGTTATTACATAAGTAGCTTATGGCCCTCTCCAAATTATTTCAGACTTGATTTCCCACAATTAAAAATTCCTTTTAAATGCTAATGGAATAACTTCTTGGATGCCAATGATAATATAATTAAGCTTTATAAAATCGTCTAGGTGTTTACTAAACCACCCGTAGAGGTTACATTTTTTAAATTTCATTTTTTTAAAAAAAAAACAAAACACCTCTCTTATTTACCAGGTTGGGGGACTGAGGCAAAGAGAAGACTAACTTGCCCCAGATCACATGGTTGGTTAGTGGTAGCATCAGATTGGAGTCCACAGCCCTCCCTCTTAATGACTATGTTCTCCTGCTCTAGGGCCATGGGTTGCAGTCGACGGGGCAGTCTGGAGCTATGCTTTTAAATAAATTCTCCAGGTTCCAATTAAACCTATAAAAACCTAACTTCAAGAGAAGTCTTTGAAAAGAAAATACAGGAAAAGAAGAAAAGAAGCTACTGTAATTGAATACGTTAGCTCAGATAACTACATACAAGTGTGAAGAATGGTTTCATGGGGAGATGGGGCCCTTTTCATCTTCCTAAAGAAGATTCTTATTGAACAACAAAAAAGGGACAAAAGTGTAGAGTTGTTTTTTAAAGATGAGCTTAGAATTCCTTCATGGAAATTGTGAAAATCAGGCAAGATAGTTTCTCTCCCAGGAAAGGTGTTCAGATGGTGGATGTTGACCTTGATGGTGTCTTCTAGTTGCTATTGAATCCTCCACCATCTCAACCTAATCACAAACTTACCTATTCTATGTGCTTTTATTTATTTGCTTACGTATTATTGAAACAATTTATTTACTTATTTTACATGTAAGTGTACTACATGCAAGCATATTTCTAGGTATTTTATGTAAATTATTTACTGCCCCAAAAAATCTATACTGTAGGTGTTACTATCTGCTTTTTACAAATGAGGAAACTGAGACACTGATCTATGACTTTTGATCTTTTGTTAAGTCATGGTTTACAAGGCTTGTATATCATAATATAGAGTAAAATGTCCTAAATAGGGCCAAATATATATACATTTTTTACATAAAACTAGAATATACAATGTGATGAAGAGAAGACAACATGAAGCTTAGAGTCAGATGATCTGTGTTGACTTGTGCTTTGCAATTTATTAGTTATTTGCATCTCCAAAGTTCAGTCCTCTCATCTGCAAAATCAAGACAGTAAAAACATTGTGGTGTATTCTAGGTTGACCAGCCATTCTGGTTTGTGGATTATAAAGTTTCCCAGAGGTGAGGGATTTTAGTGCTGCAACCTGGAGAATCCCAGGCAGACCAGACACCCTACTTGTAGTGAACATCAACGTTGACAATAAATGTAAAAATAAGTGTCTAACCCTTTGCTCATTAAATATTAAAATTCTTCTTATGAACACTGGTGTCCACATGTAGACTGTCACGCTTGCGTACCGGGGCTAGGCCCTTCTGCCAGCCATGATCGCTTGACAGTGTTACTATTCTGATCTAACTGGGAGCAGAGAAAGTGCTTGGAGAGCCTCTGCACTCCCGTCCCTAGGGGCTAGGTGTGCAGGAAGAACCCAGTTTCCTCCAGGCACACTGTGATTTACTTTGCCTTCTATCCAAGTCAATACATTTGAAGCGACAAGAGTGTTTTAAACAGTCGTGAGGACAGAGTTCGATGGTCACTGTTTGGCCCTGGCGTCATTTTTCCAAACATGTCCACATGCTGATAGAGTGACAAGGTGGGAAAACAAGTGCTTTTCCCTTTGCTTTTGCCCAATGATGAACCCAGTCCAAGAATCTTTTTATCACTTTAAACCAAGGGGGGGACAATATAGTCTACGGTTCAATTTAGCTATTCCTGTAAAAGTGATGCATTTTCATGAAACTCAATCCTTCATGTCCAGCATCTAGGGCCCTCCAAAGACCTGCTGTCACTCATTCTGTCTGGGCCCCCGAGTGTTTCTGTGGCCACAGTTCCCCTCGGTGCATTTTTTATCCACCATGGTGGAGCAGTAGAGAATCCTCAATGTCACTAACATCCCATCCCGGGCTCCTCACCCCAACTGGCTGATTTCTGACCAGAGGAAGCTTTGAGGGCATCCGGGTGACAGAGAGAAAGGAAAAATGACAGTTCTGCGTTTCAATTTAATTAGACAAATGCTTATTGACCATCCATTATTTGGAAAGATTAGCACTAAATGCTATCAAACTAAAAAATGAATAAAACATAACCACTGCCATCATGAATAGAAGGAAAGACAAGTGTGAATGTGATTAAATTAGCAAGCAGGCTGCAAGGTATAGCAGATGAGAAGAACGTGGGATTCTGGACAGTGAGGCCATGTCTCTGGGCAGGGAGGGAGAGGCAGGACAGACCTCCAACGGGGACAGGTGTCCTACACCTTGAATGATCCACAGGATTAAGGCTAAACGTAGAAGAAACAGCACTTTGGTGGCGTGACAATGGAAAGAGAGCCAAGTGTGTTCACAGAAAAGTTGCAGTTTTAACAAAATTTGTCAATACTGGACAGAGTAAGAAAAGGAGAAAATATGAATGGAAATTAGGCTGGGGTCAGAACCACAGGGCTCATTGCGTTTTGCCTTTATTCTAGTGACAGGGGATTGGTAACAGGAGGTTTTAAACAGGATGTTGACATGGCCAGCCTTAGCTTTCAGGAAAGGAACCAGGAAAACCCAGGGGCATTAGAAAGAGAGGAGACGTTGTGAGCAGATTGCAGAGTGTGAAGAAAATCAGGGGAGTGGTGATAAGAGCTTTCAAAAAGGTGGGGGAGGGGGGGGAGAGATGGAGATGAGACCGAGAAATCCTCTGGAAATCCAATCAATAAGCCATGCATGTGTGTGTAATATTACCATGCATCTGTGGCAATATTCTGGGGAGAGAAGAATGGGGAATGGATGGATTCATCCATCCAATAAACATGTATAAAGTGTCTTTCAATGCTGTGCTAGACACGCCAAATGTAGACATCAAATGCTTGGTCTCCTCCTCCCTTAGGAAGGTAACCTTAGTTGGAACACAGTATATCCACCCCTGTGTGATCACAGCTAAGACTACAACAGACACTTAGGCATGTGAGTGGGTGAATATGGAGACCCAGGAAGGGAAGAAAGGGTCCACCAAGAATATCCTAGAAACTTCCAAGTGTGCCATGGACGTGAAAGGTAGGACACTAAGAGGCCAGTGGCCACCTGCTCTCTAAGATCGCCCCTCCCAACCTCTTTCTTCCTTGATAATTTTTAATAAGAACAACTAAATTGTTTGTTTCAGAGAATAGACAGCCATTTAAATAATGTTGTTTGCTTATTAGAATATGTGCTTCATCACATCTCGTTCACCACTGCCAAAAGAAATAGCTGATGAATAAGTGAAGGCTTTATTACTGTTCAATCCAGTCCTCCTCTCTCTCTCTCTCTCTCTCTCTCTCTCTATCTCTCTCTCTCTCTCTCTCTCACACACACACACACACACACACACCACCCCTCACCCACCAGCTTTTTTTCCTAAAGGAGAAGAAAGATCAATGGAGTAGGAGACAGAGAGGAGGCAATAGGCATATGAAAGCTTTGTTAATATGGGGCAGACGGCCAGCTCCTACTAATTATTAAGTGAATGACTCTCCCCTTTTCTTCCACTATTACTACAATTCTTTCCTCTCCTTTGTGTAAGAAAAGCACTCAAAAAAACATATGTGAGTGCTAAGACAGCTTGGCCAATGCTGGGTGATTAATTGTAGAGATCCTTGAACATCGGAATCGCTCAGGGTAAACAAGATTCAGAAGGAGGCGCAATGCTCACCTGTTATACAGAATGACAATGACAGCGGCAATTAGGATAACAAACAGCAACGATAAAACTGCCCCTACAACCATCCAGAGGACATATTGGTTGTCGTTTTTACCTAAGAGAAAAAAATTATAGTAGGAATTAGGAATTCAGCCAAAGCCAGCAAAAAGGAAGACAGAAAGATGAGAAAAGATACATCCATCATCGTAGAGGCACAACTGAAAATAAACAACTAATCCAAGAGGAAAAAAAAACACAGGATGAGATAAGGGAAAAATATAATTTTCCGTTCAGTCTCCTAAGTATTTCGGACTCCTGACAGATATTTGTTAGTTCTTTGATCTCTAAGATTTGATTTGACACCTTAAGAATAAGAATAGAAAGAGTGTATGCCTGAGACAGATATCCCTTCATTCTAATGAGCTCCTGATTGCAAATGTAAAATCTTTTAAGAAAAAAAAAACCCATCAAAATAGTATACAAGGAGTGAGGGCATGAGTGGGGGGGGATAGGGGGTAATGTGGGGATAAGGACACATATGTAATAACTTAATCAATAAAAAATTTTTAAAAAATAGTATACAAATAAAGATTACTTAAGTACGATGTATTAAGTACATTCAACACACAACAGTATGTAACTTTGTTGTTTATAAGTAGAATTTTGTTTAAAAACTATTTTCTACGCAGTTGGGATTAATGGTAAAAAATAATCAGCAAAAAAAATGTGTTATTCCAACTCACTGCTTCCATGGAAAGAACCACAGCCCAGGAATTTGAAATTCCCACCCTGGTTCTTTCACTATCTAGTTTAAAATATACAAACAAACTAGAGGGAAAGGGGCGGAGAGAGAGAGAGAGAGAGAGAGAGAGAGAGAGAAAGGGAGAGAGAGAGAAGCATTAATGAGAGAGAATCATTGAGCGGCTGCTTCCTGCATGCCCCCCACGGGGGATTGAGCCTGCAACCCAGGCATGTGCCCTTGACCAGAATTGAACTGCGACCTCCTGGTTCAAAGATTGATGCTTAAACGCTGAGCCACACCAGCCAGGCTCACTATTATGTTTTTTGACCTCCAGCAAAACCTTAACCTTCTCTGCATGCCTTTCTTCATCTGTTCACTGATGACAATGATGACACTTCTGATTAAATCACAGAATTACGGCGACAATATCCAAGAGTAATAAACTACTAGAGCGACATCACCTCTGCAGTATGACCCCGGTGAGCTCAGAGTGCATTTCATCTGTAAACTGTCCTCCTGCCCACAGCACACCTCACCCACTGCCACCCACAGAGCTCCCTCCCAGGAGAAGAAGAACACCCATTTGTGCTGTTGCTGGGAATGGGATGGAACTGGAACCCAGGGCCTGTCTTTATTGCCACCTTTTTTGGGGACAGCAAACATGCAAGATGGGTATAAGCCAAGGCAGAGACAGCACGACTTTCCGGCTCTGGAAATTGGAGCCCCAATGCTGGTCCTGTGATTCCTGGCTCTCTAGAATCCCACAGTAACTGGAGAAATCACACTTCTCACTGGATTTTTAACAATCTGACAGATTATTTCTCCCTTCCTAATTCACTATTTAGCTACGATTTTTTTCATGATAAGAGTTCGAAGTCTACACCCACTCATTCTTTTGCAAGTATTACTGCAAAGAGAACCTAAGTCAAATAATGAACAATACTTTTATACTTTAAATTCATTTAAACTATTAGGTGAATAAAAGTATATAAACTTGTCCAAATTTGATGGGGAGAGGAACTTACTCAGAGCAAAAATACGTTATTCCAACTACAAAAGGAACAATTAAACTTTCTCCCCATTAAATAAGAAATTAACCTTTTGAAGCTCTTGGCACATTATGAAAATAAACAAAATACCTGAAATTATTTTGCATTATAACCCAGGACTATAAAAGGACTTGCTATACTGAAATAATTTGAATATAATATATGCTAAGGTTAAATCAAACAGGCAATCTTAGCAAGAAAATAAGAGTTATTATCAATAAATTCATTGACAGTATTCTAGGAGAATTGTTTAACTACATTTTTTAAAATGCTATTTAGATCGTTATTACAGTAAAAAATCTGGGTGAACTAGAGATCTGAATTTTTATGGAAATACTAGAATAAAATATAAATAAATCTCTGAATGAGAAATGACTTTCCCATTTATAAAAATAAATAAATATACAGGCTTGAGCCAGTCAAAATGAAAAATAACTGAAGGTCAAATTATTACAAATGAGATGTAAAGATAAACATAATATTGATAGGTTGTTTTATCATATCCTTGCTATTGAGAAAAAGGTACATAAGACAATATGAGAGCTATAACTTATTAACGAAAAGCTCTTAAAGAGTAAGTTGCTATAAAAGGAAGCCTGTGGTGAGATTGCCCATCACAAGTTCTCTGAGAAGCAAAAACTGCTGCAACCTGCAACGAAAAAGAAATTGGTCTCTGTGTCACACCCTTTAACGTTTGATTAATTGTTTTATTCCAAAGAAAAACTCAAAACTGTATAACATTTCTAACAGCAAAAAGAAAATCCTCATTTCCCAAGAGTAGACAAACCAGCAAGATTCTGCAGCTGGGGTTGTCAAACTTCATTTGCATCTGAATTACCTGGTGGCTGAGCCCCACCCTCAGAGTGTCTGACCCTTTTAGGCCTGGGTGGCTCCCAGAATTCACAGCTCTCCTGTGAAGTCTAAGATGCTGGTATACCCTGCATCTCATGGCTATGGGCAATGGAATGATGTGTGTAAAGAATCCCAAGGAAATGAAAAACTGCTGACTATAGATAGAAAGTGAAGTAAAATTTCAAAACCAGAATTCACAATCGCACAGTTCTCAATCAAGTATGGAACTTACTCAGGAAAAAACAGCCTGCAAGGCAACAGTATGCCAAAATTTTAAAGTGATGGTCTTCAGGGAATAGAATTAAAAGCAATTGTTTCTTTAGGCTTTTTGGTATTTTCCAAACTGTCTAAATGATATATTGCTTTTATTAATCGGGGGGAGGAGGGGAAATAGCTCAAAAATTTAAAGGCCTGCATGCTTAAAACAGAATAATCTGCCAACATTTAATGGTTATATTTAAAGGGCAGGCTGTAGAGAGCTACTTTGTAGAAGGGAACACAGAACCCGTAAGAATTAAGTTGGCATTGTTTTTATTAAACTCTAAATTAAATGACTGAAGTAGAAACCACTAAAAAGGATGGCCACTTATTTCACAACGCCCAATTATAGCTACAAGTTTCCAATGCATTCCGTATTGTCAAATATGTTACCTCTTTCCACCTCTTCTGGTAATGTTTGACCTGCTGGAGTCAGATCTGTTCACTCATTCATCTTTTAATACATTACATTTCAAGGCATGTGTATTGGTTCATCAGGATTTCAAATCCATGTGTTTATGTCTTAAGTGAAGTTTTTTTTTGTTTTTTGTTATTAGGTCTGAGATATAACTCTCTTCTTTTATTTATTTATTTACTTCCTTCCTTCCTTTCAGTTTTATTTTGTATTGGTTTCAGGTGTATAGCTTGGTGGTTAGACAATCATATATTTTACATGGTGTTCCCCTGATATTCCCAGTACCCCAACTGTCACTGTAACTGGACAACCAATGGATCTGGGCTGCCTGTCACTACTTGAGACAATTAAGTAGAGATATATATGAGCATTTATTCCAATAATGCCAGTAGGTCATCCACAAAAAAATCTGCTCTATCGCTCCCTTCCCTCCCCGCCCCCCACCCCCCTTGCATAGTTAGAAGGACAACAATTACATGAAATTAAGAATTACAGGCAAGGGAAAGTAGGCAAAGAATAATGGTTAGAGGTTAGAATCAATGCATGCTGAGGGGTTCGCAGAGGGCGGGTGCCTCTGGGCACCTCTGGGAACAGATTACAGATAATAGGGGCTAGGGGTTGCAAAGTGTGGGTGCCTCCAGGACTAGACTGCTTCAGCCACAGGTTGTAAATCTTTAATGATAGGCAGTTCTCGGGAAAGGAGGATGGACTGCATTCCAATGGATAGCTCCCATGTCCCAGGGCATACAACTCACAGCCAGGTTAGAATATGCTTTCTTTAATCAGAACAGTCACAATTGATTAAATCATTTGCCATTGGTGATTAGTTCATCCCCAACCCCTCTCCCCTCAGGGGACGGGGCTCAAAGTTCCAAACCTCTAACCAGAGGATCCCTCCTCAGGCAACCAGCCCTATCCTGCAGCTACCTAGGGGCCTTCAGCCACCCGTCCCTCATTAACATAAAAAAGTCACTACATTCTGGAGACCAAGGGTCTCCGAAGCCCTTGTGTCAGGAACTGGGAACTAAGACCAACTATTATAGCAAAAGAGGCTCCTTGCAGTCCCCCTCCTCCATTCCACAGAAAATGGCAAGTGTTTAGGTGCTCTGTGAAAGAAGCAAGAGACCCAACAGCTATTTCCTTATTGAAGGAGCTCACATTGTTTTGAAAGGTCCTGGCTGATTTTAAAACACCCATGGAACAAGCCTTTTTCCATAAGAAATAAGGGGAACAGCGTGGGGGGCAGGTAGGATTCAGTAACACTGCAGGAGACTGGGCCATTGAGAGCATCCCAGCCTCCAGCCAGTCCTGCTTTTCCCCTTTCCCGCCCTTCCTCTGCCTTCATGTGAGCCATCAGGACTTAGAACCCCGTGGTGCAACCACGCAGCTCGCTGGGCACGGTATGGCTAAAAACACAAATGTACAAAAGAAAAGCAAACAGCACTGGATGCTTTAGGGAGTTAATTGACAGTCCTAACATTCACTATTTCCTAACTTCCGCTAACAGATCTTTGGTTGAGAAACATCAGCCTGAAAACCTCCCTCTTAAAGAAAGAAGAATGCTTGTCTATTCTCAGCAGCCACTATTTTGCTGACTTTCCCCCCCCCCCCCCCTTTCTTCCCAATGGTGTGTTGATTCATAGGAGGCCAAAAGTGTCGTGAACCATATGGCCATTATTTTCCCTCCCATCAAAGAGGATAAATACAGTTAAAATAAATTGTCAGTGAGATATATAAATGAACAATTCACTCCAGGGCTGCAGCCCTCCAATGACAAGTATTTATGGCTGAGTCATAAA